GCATTTCTGGTTATGACAATTATAATGTTCCTAGTTTATAAATAAGAACTCTTTTTTTTCAAATTGATAGAACTTCCCTTAACTACTAAGCTTTTTCTGAAGGAGTTCTTAGCAAGCTGCATTATAGCTGGCAGCAGCACAGCTGATGTATATAGCACATTAGAGAATATATATATAAACTTTGCATTTGACAAGGTGGCACTTAAACTAGCAAGAGTTTCTTACATAGCTTGAAAAGAGTCATAAGCATTTGCATTTGACAAGGGGGCACTTAAACTAGCAAGAGTTTCTTACATAGCTTGAAAAGAGTCATAAGCATTGCTGCAAAAACAGTTTCGCAAATCTGCAGGAAAATAATGTGAAGACTGTGCAACAGTGCTTTACTGAGATTGAACAATATTAATAAGTTTATAATAACTGCAGAGCTGGAAGGGGCCCTATAGATCATCAACTCCAGCCCCCGTGAAAGCAGCACAGTGGGGAATCAAATTCCAAACCTGTGGCTCCACAACCAGATGCCTAAACCTCTGAGTTATCCAGCAGTTCAAAATGAGGCCTTTTGTTCAACCTGGCTGTTTGGTATTCCGTATGTCAGTTTCTGGTGTCATACCACTATTTTAACACCAAGGCATCAGAATGGAATTTTGGTATGCACATCCAGGATACAATTCTCCATTTCAGTTTTGAATAGCAGGTGAGCACACACTCCAGATGCAGGAAGGAAAACTAATGGGGGTAAAAACGCAATCCATTACTTCCCTTGGCTCCCTGTTTTTCTGGCAAGAAAGTGACTCGGCTCCTGAAATCTTCCAGCAGTAGCTATTCACCTTTTAAATAGTTTACAGGGACCCCATTGTCCAAATACTGTTCTCTTTTCAAAAATGGAAGCAGATCGCTAGTTTCTCATTTCATTTTTCATATTTTACAGGTTTTTGGCATTTTTAGTGAACTGTGTAGCCCAATAGCGTCCTGGGCTTTAAAAAGGGGGTTCTCCAACCTGCAGTGGAAGCATGTAGCTCAGAGAATGTGGTCACCATGCAATGTTTGCATGGCAACGAAAAAATTGTGAAATAAAGTTACTAATGTTTATCACAAAATTCAAAAGCAACCCATACCAAAACTATGCCTCATAGACAAAGAGGGTGCACAACAAAGGATGGTGATGCGTTATTGGAATGGGTGGTACCATATAGGATTGATAACAGGTGACACATGTCACAAACCTAACCACCGGCTAGAGGCAAGTTACATCATGGGCTAAATAGCAGCTTAGGCTGGGGGTATTTCCACAAAGATGTGTTAGAGAAGGAAAGAGAACAAGCAGAGGAGGGAGTCCATGAACAGTTTTTAAATATTCCTCTTTTGTTCTGATAATGGGAGTGGAGTGTTTGGGGGATACATTGAACAAACCATGGTGTAAAGCTTCTGCATTTGTCTTCATTAGCTCTGCAGGCAAGAGCAGTCAGGTAGCAGGTACTAGTATTAGGCTTTTCCCTGAGATTCTGGGCTGGGCATGGCAGACCATGCAGCTGCAGCCAGTGTCTAGATTGGACCCGAGAACCTCTTCAGATTTGTTAAGCTAGTGTCAAACCACCACCACCCGCCCCATTCCCTGTTTCTGTGGAGACAGATTGGCTTGTGCTGATAAGATATGCCTTATAAATACAGAAAAGTGACAGGCTGCTATCCTGTGGGTGTCTCTGTATTACTGTAGTGAGAGGCTGAATCCATCACATAGCAGTCTTGGTTCAAGTGTTACGACTAAAAATACCTTCCTTCTCAACCACAAATGTTCTAACATAAAAGGAACAGTTGCTTGACTTTCCATTGGTTTGGTTAGATTAACTTGGCTTTCATCTCTGTAGGAATTTTCATTTCGTATCTAACGCATGCAAAGAGAAGAAATTCACACCCTAGGTTGGTGAACCGTAATAGTTGGCTTCCAGATTTCTGCTGATATCTTCAGTCACATCATCAAAATTGAGGGCTCTTCAATTTTCTAACCAGATGTTTTAACACTCTTTTAACATGCTCTGGCTAGTAAGAGCTATACAGTACAGTACAATACGAAAAGCAAAGTAATAGCCATATGTTAGCTTACATATAAAGCATGATTTTAAAATGGGTAGCATTACACTTTTTAAAAGATTGGTATCTTGTATTTTGTGTTTCAGGAATGTGATAGAGTATGGCTGTGAGTGGTGACCAGCATAAAGTTAACTACATAAATGTTAACAGGAAATCTGAGCACATAAATGAATCACTTCAGTCAGCTAAATTTGGCAGATTTAAAATGAGTATTTTAAGTAGACTTCAATCAAAGCTATGTTCAGTGACTGTATATTTAGCACTCATTGTTTTATTTTTTTATGTCACTCTATTTGTTACCACCTTTGCCAACAGATGTGACTATTTGTCATGAAAAATGTCCTCATTAAATTTAGAATGAAGCATCATATCTATAGAGGTAGTTAATCTGTAAAACCGGGCAATCAGCTAATAAATAAAGCATTTTAATTACTCATTAAAGTTAGGAATGTAAATCTTCATTTATTTTTGAAACTGAACAAAAAAAGTCAAATGTTGTCTGCCCATTGGATGAGATTATGAGAAGTTTTGTGCATTTGACACTTTTTTGTAAAAAAAAATTCATTGACATGTTTTAATGCAAAAACCTTATACTTGACACAAAAACATATTTTGTGTGATTTTGTGCAAAATACAAGCCCAAAGGTGTTATTTGTTTCTCCTAATGTTGCTGCTGAAAGGGAAAAGAGCCAACATTTTTGCAAGGAAAAACCCTCACAGTGTTTGACCAGTTTTTCAACACAGCACATCTTCGTGCATTGAGACACCTTTTCTCATTTAGAATTTGAAATCTGTAAGCACTTCTTAATTAAAATATGCAGTATACATTGAATTGGTTTTGAAGAGGGGCCATGTACAGAAAAGTGTGAGCAATAATCTATTCTAGCTTCCCACATAGCTGTGAGAAGCCTCCTTCAGGATGAAGGTCATATTTAGCTTAAAGCTCTTAGTGGCAGTAACTAAGCCTTAAGAGAAGCTCTCCATCCCTCTGGAATGGGTCTTTCTCCCATCCCAGAAGCTGTGAAACTAGAAAGTGATGTTTTTATGGGGAAAAGGACATGGCCTGGGGAAACCCAGAGAACCATATTGGGAAGCTAGAAAGGAGGGATTAATGGCTATGCTTCATGCTTCCATCCCTGTGTAAATGGTAATTGGGGAAGGGGAAAGATTTTATGACATCATGTTTTTTCTGCAACCTATGTTTGAGTTTATGGGTAGGTTTGAACATGTTTATGCGTAATCTTAAAGCTGTTTAAGACAGCATCTTAAAAAGCACACATATCACCTTGCTGACAAAGGTCCACATAGTCAAAGCTATGGTTTTTCCAGTAGCAATGTATGGAAATGAGAGCTGGACCATAAAGAAGGCTGACCACCGAGGAATTGATGCTTTTGAATTGTGGTACTGGAGGAGACTCTTGAGAGTCCCCTGGACTGCAAGGAGAACAAACCTATCCATTCTGAAGGAAATCAACCCTGAGTGCTCACTGGAAGGACAGATCCTGAAGCTGAGGGTCCAATACTTTGGCCATCTCATGAGAAGAGAAGATTCCCTGGAAAAGACCCTGATACTGGGAAAGTGTGAAGGCAAGAGAAGAAGGGGATGGCAGAGGATGAGATGGATGGACAGTGTCATCAAAGCTACCAACATGAATTTGACCCAACTCCGGGAGACAGTGGAAGACAGGCGGGCCTGGCATGCTCTGGTCCATGGGATCACAATGAGTTGGACACGAGTTAACGACTAAACAACAATGAGTAACCTGGTGAGAAAGGCCAGACTATTCATAAACATGTTTAAACTTGGTTGTTGTGGTTTTTTCGGGCTCTTTGGCCGTGTTCTGAAGGTTGTTCTTCCTAATGTTTCACAAGTCTCTGTGGCCGGCATCTTCAGAGGATGGCGAAACGTTAGGAGGAACAACCTTCAGAACACAGCCAAAGAGCCCGAAAAACCCACAACACCATTAGATCCCGGCCATGAAAGCCTTCGCAAATACATGTTTAAACTTGCTTATGGGTTCAAATATAGGTTGCAGAGAAAATGTGAAATGTCATAGAAATCTTTCTCCTAGGATGTGTAATCTTAGTAAAACTACATATGTTGCCTTTTCTTTCCCCAGCTTTTAAATAATGTGGTAAAAAGTGCACACATGTAACTGGCATTTCTGTTTGTCATATGTAGTCTTTGTTGGAAGGGAAACTATTTACAAGGATGAGGCCAAGGCTTCACAATTTTCTGGAATCCTCTTTCTCAGCTAGGGAAATATGCAAATTCCCTTTTTGAGTGAAATTAATTTGCAGTGAAAAGCAAAAATGTGAATTGCTTTTTAATATATGAAAGAGTTTTTAGGCCGTTGTACTAGAGTAACGTATAGGCCTGAATGTGAGACATATTTTAAAAGCCACTTAACAGTTTTACTGATTATAAATATGTTGTAACATAATTCAAATATGACTGTCATATACTATAAAATAATGCTGTATAGATCATGTGATAAATCCCTAAATCTTATATAGCCTAGCACTTTATAATTGTGATTATTATTTTAGAATACTGAAGGTCTGCTCTCTTTTACATGATTGCTGTTCAGAGAGAATTTCAGAATATGGCTTGACTTTCAAATGTTTAATTTACTTCAGCCACAGTATAAGGTAGCAAACTTTAATTAGAAGACTAAAAATGGAGCTGACAGGCTCATTGTGAATTTCATTATCCCACTGAATTGCCTAATTTAGAATACTAAGTTACTTTCTCACTCATTTCCATTATTTCACTTCCCCTGTTGGAGTAGGATGAGAGAAAACTTGGAAGTTAGCTGTTAGCAAATGAGGTGGATCAACAGCATGTTGAGAACCTAAAGCATAAGGAGAACATTTTCTTATTTCTCCTATACTCTGTCTATTTCCCCCAGGTTTTGAATGAGGAATGTGATCAGAACTGGTACAAAGCAGAACTCAATGGCAAGGATGGCTTCATTCCCAAAAATTATATTGAAATGAAACCACATCCGTAAGTAAAATACCATGACTTCTTTGTGTGTCTTGTCAGGCTTAATGCTTGAGGGGAGGGGTAAGGCATTTGAAAGAAGAGTTTTAAAATCCTGTTTTAAAATGCACTGAGTGATACAGAGGTGACTATTTTGAAAAAAAAGAAGATAGACTATTAGCTGTCGTAACACAAATTCAGTAAATGTACTGTATAATAACCTCTGTTTTCTCAAACAAACTACTGTCTCAGAAGTTTTGGAAGAGGTAGTTGTGTTAGTCTGTGCAAGCATATCAAGCAAAATTCAAAGAAGCAAAACAAAACAAAACAAGACAAAAACATGTGACACCTTAAAGGCTATTATATTTTAATGTGAGCTTTTGTGGACATGTCCACTTCATCAGACATGGAAACAGAATGAAATGTTGAATGAAATCTGAGTTTCATGCTAAATATTCATTGGCTCTTGGATGTATGGTACATTTGCATGCAGTAATTTGGCTTGTGTTGTTTTAGTACCTGGTTGTAAAAATTCCTTAGGAGACAGAAAACAGACACCAAGTCTAGGCAAGGATGGGGGGGAGAGAGAGAAGAGGTATGGGTTTTTTTTGTTTTTGTTTTTGTTGTTGTTGTTGTTGTTTTTGAAGACTGGGGATTCCCTTAAACCTCAAGAGAGAGAAATAAGGATGGGGGGGGAGAGAGAAGAGGTATGGGTTTTTTTGTTTTTGTTGTTGTTGTTTTTGAAGACGGGATTCCCTTAAACCTCAAGAGAGAGAAAGAGAATTTTAACTATAAAGGTAAAAGAAGATGGCAGAGGAATCCTGTGTGTTTATGTAGAAAATATTGACCATTTTTACCTTTGAGCCTTGTGATGAGAGATGAGCTTGGTAGTTGTGAAGAAAATAACAATGGCAATATATAAGAGCAGAACTGTTAAATTTAGTAATGCCTTAAGAAACCTACACTTATATTCAGTCCATTTGTATATTTGTGATGGGCACTAGTCAGCATTGATATAGAAGCTTGGACATCCAGTCTAGGAGAGTTCACTTGAAAGACCTGCAAGTGTCAGTGCAGGAGGTTAAATGTGTTCCTTCTGACCCTATGTATGCCAACATATCTTTATCCCCATGAGAGCTATCAATCTGATTTTACATGATTTACTATTACTGTGCTATGTGTGGCACAGACGTAAGTCTTACAGAATTGTCAGTAAATCCCAGATTTCTTTCTTTAGTTTAGAAATGATAGTATTTGATTCTGTTTTGGAGTGGTCAGGTGTTAATTATTCAGATAGAAACTTTCGAGAATGCTGCATGCTCCATGGCTTAATTTCCTGCCTATTCAGTGGTGCCTCGCAAGATGAATTTAATTCGTTCTGCGGTCAATGCCGTCTTGCGAAAAATTCATCTTGCGAAATGCGTTTTCCCATAGGAATGCATTGAAATTTAATTAATGCGTTCCTATGGGGAAAATGTTTTTTAAAAGTTGCTTACTAGGTAGGGAGCTGGGGAAGCACCATCAGAGGGCTGGCGGGGGGTCCCCTCACTGCGATTGCTGGCTTTGGGGGTCCCCCGGGGCTTCCCTTGCACCGTCCCAGGAGTCGTGGGGTCCTCCGCAACCACGATCACCGGCTTCAGAGTCCTTCGGAGGCTTGCTCTGCACCATTGGAAGACTCGCGGGGGGGGCCCTCGCCGCAATTGCCAGCTTTGGGGGTCCCCCAGGGCTTCCCTTGCACCATCTGAGGATTCGTCGGGGTCCCTCCACGTGACTATGGATGCTTGCAGAGGCTTGCCAAGCACCATTTTTGAAATTCCCGCCCTTTCCCCCTGTCTTCAGCAAGCCTCGGAAGGTAAAAAGAAAATGTGGTATTGGAGGGGAGTCCTATAGATACCACAGGCTGCTAGAAAGATAAATAAGTAGGTTTTAGATAAAATTAACCCTGAAGGTAGTAGGAAAAGTGGAAGACCTAATATGAGATGGGTTTTGCTTCAGTAAAGGAAACCATGGCTTTTAGTTTGCAAGACCTGAGCCAGGGGACCTCTACCAGTGCTCCGATGGTGCAGGGGAAGCCATCGGAGCATGGGGGGGAGGTCCCCTGCAACTGCGTGCGCCGGCTTTGGAGCCCTTGGGAGGCTTTCCTTGCACCATCCGAGGACTCACAAGGGTCCCTCCACGCATCGATGGGTGCTTGCAGAGGCTAGCCCAGCACGATTTTTGAAGATCGCGCCCTTTCCCCCTGCCTTTGGTAAGGCTCCAAACGTAAAAAGGCTTTCTTTTTTTTTCCCTTTCCTTTTTCCATTCGGAGGCTTGCTGAAGGCAGGGGAAAGGGGCAGGATCTTCAAAAATGGTGCTAGGCTAGCCTCTGAATGGCAACATTCATCTCGCAGAAAACCGCCATAGGAAAAATCGTCTTGTGAGGCACCAAAAACCTCGCCGGACCCATTCGTCTAGCAAGTTTTTCATCTGTCGAGGCAATCCTCTTGCGAGGCACCACTGTAGTTCTGTCCTACCCCCATCAATGGAAATTTTATTACTGTAAGCCTGTGGAAAATCTTCACGTCTGCTACTGATTACTTCTGTGTTTGACAACAGTCAACATCTTTTACAAACTAGAATCACCAACTTAAAAAGTATCTACTTCTCTTGCCCTCAACTGATTTTTGCATTACTGTACTGTATATTATCTTAATATTGAGGGCACATTAGTAACATAAATTTGTCTTTTTAATTGAAGGAATAGTTCTAATGGAAATAAATTTCATAATCCACCATTCTGTTCCTACTCTTCACAAATGTTTCTTTTTCTTCCAGCCTGCAAACTGCCCTTTGTTCCTCTTTCCTTACTGATCTTTCCACCTAGAGCTTCTTGCGACATTTGGTGCATTTTTGTAAAGAGGGAGCAATAAAAGAACAGCTTGGATATTTCTGTTAAAGGGAAATTTTTAAGCCCATGTAATTTCTGAGATTTTCTTTTTAGATCTTGAAGGCACATTAGAATATATGAAATGTGTATGTCTTTATTATAAAAATGTAGTAAAATATCCTCCTCAGGTTTTCTGTGTATAAAGTATAAAGTACTGTACTTAGAAATGGCACCCCAGCCCTTTCCTCTGGTGTCGCTCTGGCACTGTGTAGCTTGCCCCACTCTGAGCACGTGGCAGGACATGTAACTCTGTCAACCAAACTGAGTGATCTTTGCTCTTGGGAGACATGGTGAGGATTCAAACTCCCAGCCCCTGGCACCCACAATCAGGCACTGCAAAGCACAGAGCTGAATCAGCAATGTGTTATTTATAGAGTGCCCTATAACAATAAATTCTCAGGAGGCTGATAGCATAAAAAGAAGTTGAAACTCATGAAGTATTGTAAGATAAAAATGCAGCACTGAAAATGAACTAGATAACTGAGTAACTGATAGTAAGGCCCTGTAGAAGTCTTCAACATACAAGTGGTCTAAGGGGCAGTCCCTAGATAAGATAAGATAAAATCTATAGCAACTTTTAAATTGAAGGTTAACAACCTTTTTTCTCTCTCTTAAAAGCCACATTTTCTCAGAGGTCAGGGACTTCATCCTAACAGCAGACTGTCCTGCTTTCTTTGTTCTGGCCTCCCTTCCCTTTCGGGGGAGGCTCATTCTATGTCCCCTGGGCAACAGTGTGCAGCCAGCAGATGCTTCCCTTCCAGAAGCATTGCGCTGTAACAGAACAGAACCTGCCCATTTAATGGATGCCAACTCCTGGGAAGGCCATTGATGTCGAGGGACAGTTTCTGCACCCATCTCAAGCTCTGACCACTTCTGGTCAAAAATAGTCTGATTGTCTTTATATTTTTTGATTTTGCCTATATTTCCTGTGCATCCATGATTTTTAATTGTGCCATTCCATTTCTTTCCATACTACTCAGATCTTTGTCAATTAATTGATTCTCTCCTGCCCTATTAATATCTTATGTAGAGATTACCGGTACTCTAGTTAAACTTTCTCTTCTCCCTAAATCATTTCAGTGCAGTTACAGAGCAGGAGAGGCAGAAAGATGTTAAACCAGAACTATTTTCTTTTGAAGGATTTCATAGATCCATTCTGTAGGGGGAAAAACACTCAATGCCTAGAGGCATGCAGACACACTCCCTATTGATCTATGTATGCTTCTCCAGTCATTCCCTGTATCCTTTATTTTTGTAGAAAATAGCAGTCAAAGGGAAGAAGAAGCTTTCAAGGTGGGATTTTTGTTTTCAGTGCCATTCCAAACTGGGGGACAGGTCAGAAAGAGAAGAGTGGGGAGAGAGCATAATCTGGCAGAAATAGAAGAGAAGAATAATTACTAATGCTGCATAGTAAATGATAACTGCATCCAAAAGTACCTAGAAAACAATCTGTATTTTTCTAAAATCTCAGTAAAAGTTTTTTGAGACGTTGGTTGGAGCCCAGTTGGTGTCAATTACACTGCAAGTCTCTGGTGCTGTCATCAGCTGTGGCCATTTCAGGAAATGCAAAGGTTCCTCTCCCCGCCCTCAGGCTTCATGGACCCCTATGGATCCCCTTCACTTTATAAACCTTCATGAGTCACAGAAGGGAGTAGGGAACAAGTTAAAGTCAGAAACACAGCAGGACTGAGATCAGCAGCTATAATTTTCCATCTTTAAATAATTCCCTACCCTAATCCACAGCTTCTGAAGGAAGGGGTCCCCAGCGATCCCTGGATCCTGGCAGAGGGGAGGAGAAGCTTTTAATTTCCTGAAACATTACTGGAGATCTGTGGCATAATTTACCTCAACAGGACTCAAGCCACTGAATGAAATGTAGCAAATTTAGTAAATGTAGGATACCCAGTGTGGTGGATAGAATGACAAACTAGGACTCAGGAAGGCTGGGCTTGAATGTCCACTCAGCCATGGAAACTCACTGGGGATACAGGACTGGTAAAACCACTCCTGAAATATCTTACTTACCCTAAAAGCCCCATTGGGGTCACTATAAGTCAGTTTCAACTTCATGACAGATTACAAGGCATTAGTAGACACAACACTAGCAGTTATGGTCTG